ACACCCTTGACCCCATGCTGGGAAAGTCCCAGACGTTCTAGTGCAAAGAAGGGAGGGGAGCTTGGTACTATCTCGCTTGCCCTCTTGCTCCCTCAGTCACCTGGTTTTCCCTTTCCTCCCACCCCATCCTCCTTTGTCCGCCTTCCCAGAGTGCCCCCTGCACCCTTCTTCACCCCTTCTTTCTTTCCTCTTCTTGTCATCGTGTTGATTGTCACTTTAGTATTGTAGATACTCTGAGTGTGTTATGACTTGTCTTCCTGACGTGCACTGCGTGTTCCTCCCCTCTGCTGTCCCTTCAAAAGGAGCGTGCTTCCCCGGTGTCTCAGCCAGTTCTGCTGGGTGTTGGGTTTTGGCAAATGTCAGGCAGTGGTGGAGAGGTTTCAGTAACCCCCTGCCCGTCACCCAGGGCAGTGGCAAAGGCTCCTGGCCGTGCAGTCCCTGTGCTTGTGGCTTCACTGCTTCTGTTCATACCTGCAGCTTTCCAGTTTTCCTATCAAAAGTAGGGGCAGGGAACTGGGACCAGAAGGCATGAATGGGATGGGATCAGAGAGTGATTTCTTCCCCAGATCTTCACAGGAAGGGATGATACAATCTGCCAACCTGAGGGAAAGGCGATTTTTAGGGAGCTGCACCCCAAGCTCAGCTGCATCCAGGAGTGGTCCTCACCCCTGCCATTGTCTATATAATGTAATGTACCAAATTTTTGTCACCCTGAGAACATGTGCAGTTCCAGGAGCACTTTACCTCTCGCTAGCTACTAAACTGAGCGAAGATTTTTAGTCTTAGAAGTGATATATCACACTGGAATATCACACTGGAAGACCTTACTCCTCCGTTGCAGGGACTCATTTATACTTGGGTTTATAAGTTAATAATCCCCCTCAATCTGGTCCCATCACAATTCAAACATGATCTGGCACTGATTGCTTTTGGTTGGGCTGGGAGAAGTCTCCAGCAGAAGTCTTTTGTGGAAGGCGGTCACAGGAGGATTTGAGTTACTGGGTTTGAGGCCATGGTATTTTTTTTAATTTAAAACTTTTTTTTTTTTTTATGCCAGTCAGACCAGGAAACCAACAGAACTGGAGCCATCTTATCTTTCCCTTAGGTAACTGCTAAGCTCAGCTTGTAGGCACAATATTGCTGAAGGACTCTGTTGATGAGGACAGCTGAGAGGATCAGACATCATCATGGCTTTTAGAGGCTGCATAGAGTTTGCTGGCTGAGTAGTTAGCAGAGCTGTCTGTCTTTGGTTGGGAAGAAAACCAGAGGCAAAGATCAATGGGAGACAGATGGTATGGACTAGGAGGTGTCCAGGCCCTTTCCGGAGCATGCTGCTTTGTGAATAAAACAGCAGGAAACCCCTGAGAGAAGCAGAATTGATTGGAGAGTGTCTGCCAGGGAAATGGGGAGGATTGTCCCCTGTTCAGCTCTCTGTCTTGTTTCTCCAGCTGGTTTCGGTGCTGAGGGAGGTGAGCTACCTCTCTGGCAGCCAGATGGGAGCCATCCCACTGACGGCAACAGAAATCTATTCCTCCAAGGAATCATTCCGGCAGATGGTGGCCAACTTGGAGCTGATGGTGAACAGATACAACAAGGTCCTGAAGACAGTCCTGGAGGTCGAATACCCTCTAATACAGGGGCAGCTGCGGGGTATTGACTTGAAGCTGAAAGAGGCAGAAGAAACACTGAACTGGAAGATGGAGGGTGAGCTAGCTCTATGTTTAGGGGGGAAGAGTGCATACACTTGGGTCTCATCAGATTCCCCCATACGCCCAACCTCCGTCATCTGATTCCCAACTGCAGTTCCCAGAAGGGCAGGTGACTCTCCAGCCAAGCCAACGCTGGGGAGACGAAGGGCAGCCCCCAGATTGCTGGCTCCTTTCCATATTCCCGTGCTCTGCTGGGGTTGTGGACAGGATCCTGCTCCCTTCAGGTTCAGCCTGGGCTTTTAGTGAGAAGAGGCTGCCCTGTAGGCAGCGCTGCCAATGAGATGGCAAGATTTGGGTTTGCAAGAGCTGACAAGGCTGGGGTTGAAGCATCTGCTCACTGCCTGTGCTGGCCCGCCTCATGCCAGTCCAAGCAGCCCGTTGCATGGCTGCGTGCCCGTGCCCCCAGGGCACTGCTTGCTCGCCCAGTTTTGCTGGGAGTGGGAACCCCTGTCTCAGCCATCTGGCACTGGGATGGGCCTGTCCCAGTGAGAGGCAGGACCACCTCCTTATCTTTTCCAGAAGGATGAAATACTGCAGCTAGGGGTGGGGTTTGCTCACCGTGACTTTGCGATAATTTAACCAGTGTTCTTGCTTGATCAGTTTTAACTGCAAAGCAGAGCAAAGGATGACAATTTCTTTCCTCTTGATGAAAGCAAACTGCTCACTGGTGGAATACATATTCCTGTCATCAGGCTTGTGGTATGAACAGGAACAAGTATCCTCCCTGGGAACATGCAAAGCAGAAATCTTCATGTTGAAAGACTGTTTCACCATTTCACAATAAAGATGAAGGGATTTTCCTGCAGATGAAACCTAAGTTCCCTGCATCTAAATGCAGCCTTTGCTGGTACTTGGGCTGGTACAGCCCATGTGTTAGAGCTACGGGTGCGAGGTCCCTGCTCTAGTGATGGTGGAAAGGACACTCAGCCTGCTGTACTCTCCGTGCTGCTCTCCAGTAGCAGAAAGTGGGAGATCAAACCTGGGTAGAGGGAAGCGGGAACTGTCAGACATCCCCACGATGCTGGTACTCCTGGCAGAAAGCAGAGCCTGTGGCTGTCCATATCATGGGTTGTTGTACCCCAGGAGGGAGCTAGAAGTGGCTCTGTTGGTCGAGGTGTCTTGTGTTAATGATGGGGGAGAAATACATGAGACCACGGGCAAAAGGTCAGAGACTGGTCTTAAGGGTACACAAGAGCTTGGCCTAGCAGCTCTGAAAACAAATAGTCAATGATCTCATTTTTTACCAGGTGTCTGGGATCAAATCTCCATGATGATGGATGCTGTCCATGACCTTGAACAGAGGATACATAAAGCCAAAAACAATGTTGAGGACATCCAGACCATGGTGCGATCATGGGTATCACCCATATTTGAGAGGAAAGATGGTAAAAGGGAATCACTGCTAAGCTTAGAAGACTGTCAGGACCATCTGGAAAGGCGTTACAACCTCATCAGAGAGTCAGGGCTGAGGATGCATTCACTGGTGAAGGTGAGGGGGGACCTTCTTCAGGGGCTTCTTGGCTCTTCATAGGCTCTCTGTGTCTCTGTACTCTGGTGAAAATGTCCAGAGTTGTTTCATCTTAAAATTAACTCCCTTAACTAGTTTGAAAATCTTACCCAGCATTAATTAGCGATAGCTTTGATGAGTGAGCTGGTATGGCTGTGTGATGCAGGGCTGCTGGCTGGGCACCACTGGGCACCCAGTTTGGGGCAGGAACAGGAGCAGCTGCAGCCCAGTGAGGGAGTCTGGCTGCTAGTCCGGGCTGTTGTGGAACCACTAGAGGGGAGTCATGCATCAGGCTTTGGGATCCTGCTCAGAGGAAAAATCCCCCTCCGAAATATTTACCTGAAAATAGAGAGGCAGCTGGCTGTGGCTGCTTTTCTGTTTCAGACTTGTTGTTCCCCTGTGGGAGCAGGAGGTGACGCTGACGGTCCAGGGAGAAGCCAAGTGACAGGAGAATAGCTGCTGTCCGAAACCTCTGTGCTTTCAGGTGGCTTTGCCAGAGCTGAGAGTCCTCTTTGCAGGCCCGGAGAAAGCCCAAAGCTCTGCTCTTCACCTGCTCAGAGTGAGGTGCTACGCATGTCAGGGACAGCACCTTGGCCTGGAGGGAGGTGGAGTTTAGATCCACCCCTCTCCTGAAAGCCACCATCTGGCCTCGGACTCTGGAGAGAACCAGCTGACCCTCTCTGGGACACTGAGCTCTTGTTGCTCACTTTGCCTTGCTGTCTGCAGTCAGCTCTGGACCTCTAACCCCCTTCCCTGCACACTGAACCCATGGTGAGGATTTTACCATGTCTGTGTTGTTCTGCTGCCACAGCTGTAACAGGCTCAGCCACCTCCAACTACCACCCAAAAGACCAGGGCACTTTCTAGATTGGCCAAGGAGAGTATGGGTTGTGGTCAAGGCAGGAGGGCTGGCACTACTGGTTTGGTGGCTCTGCCAATGCTGCTCACAGGGGCAGGACCAAGTGCAAAGCAACATGAAGGTCCTGGGGAGGGAAAGGCATCATGGCCCAAAATGTGGTGTCCCCATGCCTCTGTCCTGCTATGCTGGCCAAGGCTGGCAGAGCAGCAGCAGAGGGGCCAAGAGCTGGTCTGCTGGGCTTCCCCCAGTTATTCAAGTTGTCCTGGGAGTAGGTGAGTCTTGAGGCTGCTGAGAGAAGCACAATGAGGGTTTGAGTACATGTGCCAACAGGCAAAGGCAGGACAGCATGTACTAGATGATGGCCAGTCTGGCTCCCATTGCTTTTCTTTCACGAGGATGAAGCCTCTGGAGTAAAGGCTCAGTAAAACACCACTAACAAGGGAGCATCTTCAAATACAAGGACAGGGAAAAGTGAAGAGAAGGTGGTGCTTTCAGCCAGGTGTCTCCACAGAGTTTGTTCCTATGAAGTTCCCCTTCCTCTCGAGACAGCAAAATGTGGTCAGGTAAATCTGCAAGGGGCCAGAGCATGGGCATGCTCTGCTGGGAGTTTAAGCACCCAGCTATGATATGGCAAGTTGGGGAGCAGCAACTTTGGGTTGGCTCAAGCCCAACTGGCAATGTCGCTCCATCTCATGTATGCCAAGCTGCCGTGTCAGTGCTGGGAACGGCATCCTCTCCTGTGCCCCCGTATGTAAAACGTTGACCCCTTGGCAACAGGCAGTGTGTGTTGATTTCTGCTCACTGGAAGCTGGACCTTATTCTTTCTGAGACTGTGCCTCTGTTGAGAGTGCCTGGCTGGGTCAGGAGAAGGAGCACTTGGAGGGCATGACAGGGCAGGGGACAGGATCATAGTGGAGCGCGGGAGATGCAGGTAATGGGTACACAGCCTGGCCTTGTGGGGATGGGAGGAGGAAACCCAAGAAGGATGGGTCCCTGCTGTGACCCAGAAAACGCTGGCTGGGAGCTTGCCTGGAGGAAGGCAACACAGTAAGCTGAGGACGGAGGTTGTTAGCAAGCCATTTGTCTTCTGATACCAATCTTCATCTGTTTTTAGATGGTTTGTTTAAAAATTCTTTCTTGAATTTAAAAGTTCTCTGGTCTTGAGAGGACTGTTTTTAGGGCAGAGGTGTAAGCAGTCCACCTTGAAGACCTCATCCACTCAAGATAACATTATACAGGCCACCAGGGCTGGGTCTTCATGTATGAGATGAGCCTTAGAGACCCCTGAGTGCTCCCTGCCCCAGGTGTGCAAAGCAGCCTTAAGCCCTGTGGCCTCCAAGAAGCGGCAGGAGAACAGGTCTCGGAACTGCTAAGCATCTTCTGCAGTCCAGTTTACCTTGCAGTTATTTTGAGTTGTTTCAGATGACAAAGCAGCCCATGACAGAAGGAGCAAATCATGGCGATGACACCAGCAGCAACATCCGTCTGTCTGATTTCCCAACCCTCTGTGAGACTGGTACCCATGTGCTCACTGGCATCTGCCCTTAGCTGAGGGCATCTCTCTTGATCGGCAGACTCAGCTCTGCTTTATTTGAAGGCATCTTCTTTTTCTTCCAGGAAAACCAGAGCCTCCTACTTGCAGACCCAGCATCTGAAGTCTGGAAGGCCTATGTGGATTATGTGGATGAGATAGTCCTGGATGGATTCTTCACTGCCATTGAGTGCTCGCTCAAGTACCTCCTGGAAAACACAGGTGACTGCTGGTTTCGCGCCCCTGGTTGTGATGGCTGCTTCAGTCTCACCAAAGGGAGGTTTCTGTTTTGTGCTCATGCCTAAGAGTTGGTCTCTTCTTCCTGGCTTTCTGCTGTGCCTCTTGCATTGCCTACAGCAAGTGCTGGGGGAGCCTCCAGACAGGGTGAGTGACTCCATCCCCCAGTCACTGGAGCAAAGCATTGCTCGGGGGGAGGGATGGAGAGGACTATGCACCGTTTGCAGGGATTAATGGACAGACAAAACTGAGGTGTCATCCTAAGTCTGTGCTTGGGCATCTGCCATCTCCCATCCTCACAAGCGCAAAGCATCAGAATGACACGATCTTTCATTTATGGAGAAACTCAAGAGCTGGTTCTGCCTATGAAAGTCATGAAACAAAAACCTCAGTCCCTGAGTATTAGTCAGTGAAGAGATGGGATGGTCACTAAATCAGACCTCCACCATGGAGGTTCACTCACTCTGCTGAGAGCTACTTGTGTCCAGCTGAAACACATCTCCAGGAATGCTTCCCTCCTAGATGTGGAGGCATGTTGATTTGAAGAATTGCATCCAGTTCTTCACCATCTTGTTAAAAACATGCACATAATTTCACATTTACATTTGGCTTCAGTTTCCAATTGCTGAGGTTTTTTTCATGCCTTTCTCCACTAAATTAAAGAGCCTCTTGGTTCCTGTTGTTTTTCTCCTCTGCAAGTACTTATGAGCTGTAATTGTTCAGCTCTCACACTCCCTTTTGATTAGCTAAAGAGCCTGGTCTCTCTAAGGCTTTCCTCTGCAGCATTTTTTCCGATCCTTAAATCACTTGTTCTCCAGTATCTCCTGTGGATACCAGAACATCAGCTAGTTTGCCAGCACCTCTTCTGTGTTGTGTGCAGACACAGTGTCACTGGACCCAGCGAGTGGGTATCTGCGATCACACCTGCCTGATGTCCCAGTGGGGCATGTGTGCATATTTTGGTGGGATGTTAGTGGTGGCTCAAGATTGCTTTTCTCCCCTTGGAAAAGATCTTGGCATCTCCGTTCTTCCCTACCAGATCCTAAGGCAGGACTTGCCCCCCTCTTTGAGGTTCAGCTGGATTTGGTGATCCCAGATTTGGTATTTCGTCCCTCCTTGGACCCTGGCACAAACGACGGCTTCTATGACATGGTGGAGAGTCTTCTCAATGACATCTACCGGATCTCATCACTGGTGCCCAGGCTGGCTGAGCACAGTGGTTTCCCACACTACCAGGTCTGTGGCTGTGGAACTCCCTTGTGCTGTGTGGCAGTGAGGCCATACTGCACTGCTCCTGCATCACTGTCCTGTCCTGTCCTGTCCTCTCCTCTCCTCTCCTCTCCTAGGCTGACATGGAGGACATGGCTGATCTGGCCGACATGCGCGATGACCTGATGGGACGTGTGCAGGCTGTGACGGCGGCCTGCTGCGATTACCGCAGTGCCTTCGACCACTACTCCTACCTCTACGGGGACGACAGAAAGGAATTCTGCCGCCAGTTCCTGCTCTATGGGCACATCCTCACTGCTGCAGAAATTGAGGCCCATGCAGAGGACGGGGTGCCTGAAACGCCTCCCACACTGCAGCAGTTCAGAGAGCAGATCGACTCCTACGAGAAGATCTATGAGGAGGTGAATCGCATTGAACCCATCAGGATCTTCCAGAGCTGGATGAAGGTCGATGCTCGGCCTTTCAAGGCTTCCTTGCTGAACGTGATTAAAAGGTGGAGCTTGGTGTTCAAGCAGCATCTCATGGACCACGTCACGCACAGGTAAAAGCTGTTCCTGCCCCCTCTCCCCAGGACCTGTGCTGATCAAAGGGAGTTTCTCTTGTCTTGGCTGGGCTTTGGCGTTCCACACTGATAAGCAATAGGCTAATACAGGAGCAAGAGAACACGGCCCATGCTGCATGCCAGCTCCATCACATCCCCTGTATCTTCCATCCCCTGGTCTCTGCTGGGGACTGGTACAACTGAGTGTGTGAAGTAGAGGCAGTTATACAGACTTGGTACCATTGACGTCCCATGAGCCAATGCTCCTGGGACCTGCTGTGTGGCGTTAGATAGGACATCTGTTTGTCCATTCATCCTGATCCAACCGATCTAATCTGTGCTAGGGCTCTGTGATTACTTTGTTGGATTTGATATTAGCCATCAGTAAAGCTGCATTAATGCCATGAGATACTTGCTTTATTTCTAAATGCGTTGCTCTTTGGAGTGCACTGTGTGTAGAAGATGAAATTCGAGTTGCCTGGCATGAGTAGTCGTGGGAAGGTAGTTTCAAGGTTACGAAAAGGAGAAGTTTTGAAAATAAGTTTTGAATTAACCTGTGTTCCTTGCTCTGAACAGCTGCTCAGTCGCCAGACCTGTACTGGACGATGCATCAGGTGATTTATTTGAGTAGTCGTAACTGAAGGATGTTGCATGTCTTGGATGCTTACAAAGAAGCATTTACAGACATATGTAGCAGTGAAGGCTTTTGCGTGTGGTGGATGATATGATCTTTTGTGTTCTTTTCAGCACCATAATGCCGTTAAATAATTTCTGTGCAAAGAGTTTTTTCTGTACCTTTAAAAACAGGCATTTAGGAGTTCTTATTAAGAGTCCCTGACTCAGCAGTTTAGTCTTTATTAGGTAAGGACTTTAAAGATACATTTTGACCTAGCAGCATCCACAGAATTTAAGTGAGCACTTAAAAAGTAAGTGTTTTGAAAAGAGCAGAATAACTGTGTTGGAAAAGACCAGAGATTCAGGAGCCCATCGTGCCTCTGCTGACAGTGCCCAGTAACAGGTGAGATTAAGAACAGGGTAAACAGGTGGGGAAACTTCCCCCAAATACTCCTCTGGTGTCTATAGCTCAAGGACTTTGAGACAGGGGTCACGCCTTTGTATTTAAAGACCTGGATGGATTTTTTTTTGACCACAAATATTTGGTTGCTTTTCTGAACTGCTGTGAATTTTTATCATCTGCAACCTCCTGCAGCAAGGAATTACACTGTGAAATGAGGCAGAGTGTGAAGAAGAATCCCTGTTTGTTGTAGGTTTGTAACCTGCCAGGTTCATTTGGGGATCTTGAATTCTTGTATTGGAAGAGACGCGATGAAAACTGTCCTTTCAAACTCCGTCTCTCCAGACCACTCCCGAGCTCACAGGTCTCAGTCACACTCCTTCTCGGATACCTTTTCTCCAGCCTGAGAAGTGCCAACCTATTTATCTCTTCCTTGCAGTTAGCTGTACCACGTCTATGGATCCCTTCGAGCATGAACTGCGCTTCTGATGCCCTCAGCATGTTGCCATGCAATGGACAGGGTTAGCCAGGCCTTTCCCTTGTCCGTGCCAGTCCAGCTGCCTGGCGTAGGGCTGATAATTATTTCAATAGGAGCTGCTCTCACTTTGTGCTTTCCTGCTTTGTGTTATACAGCTTGGCTGAACTTGACGAGTTCATAAAAACTGCCGATAAAGGTTTGAGCAAAAAGGTTGAAAAAGGCGATTATGATGGCTTGGTGGAGATTATGGGTCATCTCCTGGCCGTTAAAGAAAGGCACGGTGTCACTGATGCCATGTTTGAGCCCCTGAAGCAAACCATTGAACTGCTGAAGACATATGAGCAACAGCTGCCGGAGGAGGTCTATAAGCAACTGGAGGTGGGTGAAAACTGGTGGTAGACACAAAAATTTTCCATGTAGCAGGTGTCAAAGAGAGTGTGAGCTTAAGAGCATTGCAGGAATATTTAAGACCCCACTCCCTGTCATTAGAGGGCCTCAGTGGATAGTATTTTGTTATTGTGGGATGTGCCTTAATAGCTCTAAATTTTGGAGTTATATTGAGATTTTTCTTTTTAAAGCAGAGATTAAGCCTTTTGTTACGTATGAAAAACATAGAATTGCCTGCTCTAACTCCCAGCGATTACTCTTGAAAAAAATTAATGCATTTTCAAATACGTCTGTTAATTAGGTTCAGTTATAATTATTTTTAAATAAGCCCGTTCTTGGCAACTGTGGAGATGGGAACGATAATGTTGCCAGAGGAGTTGCCTTCTCACAGGACATCCTCCATGGGATCCATAACACCAAATCTGTTTGACCCAGAGGACATCACTGGGAGCAGGTTATGAAAGTGTTTTGGCACATTTCCACATCTGGCTCTGATGAATCAGATTCCTTTTGCTTCTGGGAAGGGGTCCACGAGGTGGAGGTTAGAAAAGACTGCAAGGTGCCCAGTGAGCCATGGGGGACAGGAGACAAGCACTGGCAACACCCAAGATGATTACAGTGGAGAAGTGCGTGAGTATGTGTTGATGGATACTCTATAGTCACAGGCTGCTGTGGGCAGAGGGGGCTGTGTAGGGCACAAGGTTTAAAGGAGGACCTTTTGGGGAGATGTTCCTGCCTTATGCACCTGTGCAGCAAAGGCTTCACTTCTCTGCTGCAGGCGTGGATGGGAGCTCAGTGGGATTTAGCAATCCCCTCGTTTTTTGGTAGTGCAACTGTGATCCATGGGTGGTCGGGTCACCAAATCTGGAATAGTTAAGAGTCCTAAAGATACCTTGGTTCCTACAGACTCCCTGAAAACCAGGAGAGCTGCATTACATGGATGCTTTGGCTGTTGCAACGGCTTCAGTCCAGCATAAAGCATGGTGCTGCACAGAACTCGGCTCTGCTGATTCCTCTGCCAGAGAGCTGATTGTTTTTGGTGCCTGTTTGTGCAAGTACATTTAAACAACTGATTTATTTTTCTGATAGAAGAAATGAGGGATGTGGGGCAGCCATTTAGATGCAGGAGATAACAAAACAGTTTTTTCTTTCTGGCAAGTGACAGCAACACATAGTTGAATGATTCATTCACTCCTCTGTACGGTGGGAAAACCAGAAATAAGTTATTCTAGGTACTGCTCCCTCCATGGTTGGGGAGACGGGTGGGCTGGAGCTGGTAGTTTATATGAGAAGGACAAGGAAGCAGCTCCATATGTTCCCTGCTATGGTCATGGACGGTGATTTCTATGGAGGCTGGAATATAAAATTCCAAAAAGAGACTCCTCAGGAGGGACCGACCCCACTCTGGCTATCTCTGCTGCCTCAGAGCTGCCTCTGGGTTATTTGCCTTCTTTTCATAGTGTTGGTGGGTCTCCATTAATCTCAACAATGTGAACTGGGATGATGAAATACCCAAGGTCTTTTCTGTAGGCTTACACAGTACATGGGGCAGTGGGCTCTCCAAGAGCAAAGTGCTGGGAATTGAGGAGAGCAGAGCTCTTGGCTGGGGTCAGTGTCTGGCCCGAGAAGCCTAGTGAGAAGAAAAAAAAAATCCCTTTTTGAAGAAAATCCCAGATACAGAGGGTGGATTGTCAACAGTGCTGTGCATTTGCAGCTTGGATGCAGACCTGAGAAGGCAACCGGTCTTATTTAGCACCAATATTATATACACAGTCTGGAGGGATTTGCTCCAGAGAGCTCTCTAGAAGTCTTTCTGGTATAACAACTTCTTCTGCCCTAAGAGCTGGCAGGAAATTTCCCAGGCTCTGTTTCTTAATTAGCTCTGAGAAGCTGGATGATCTGATGAGCTGGCTTCCGCAGCCCATCCTTCTGCCTTCATCCACTCCTGGCAGGGCCTGGGTCCTGCTGGGCTTGGTGTTGGGGTCACTGTCCTCTCTCAAGCAGTGAACCTTCCTGGGAGCCCAGCGTCTAGCCTGGGACCCTTCTTCTAAAGTTATTGAACATGTTATTGCAATCAGAACAGTCAGTTGTAAGGTCTCAGCCTTCATTAATCTTCAAAATTGTGAATGACTGGTAAGTTTTATCCCAAATTTTGTGTATAGCCTTTGCATCTCGACAGCACTTCCTTACAGTTTTAGGCACAGAATCTGTTGCTTTTTCTGTTCTGTGATTATCCATAAACAGATCAGATGCATCTTATATCAAATATCAAATACTGCCTGCCAGCCTTTAAATTTTGCTTGCAGGAGCTGCCAGAAAAATGGAACAATACAAAGAAGCTGGCGATAGCTGTGAAACAGCATGTGGCTCCTCTGCAGGCGAACGAAATGACAGTTCTGCGCAAGAGCTGTGCGGCATTTGATGTTGAGCAGCACAGATTCAGAGAGCGATTTCGGAAAGAAGCACCATTCAGGTACGGACAAATTACAGCATCAGAGAAGCCCCGAGGAAAAAAAGCCTGTTCAGGTCATCTCCGAGTGTCCTGAGAATGTATGCTTTAGCCCTTACATACATTTCCTGCCTTCTCACAGTGTTGTATCTGTTATGCCTGGGGTGTCTTGTCCCCAGGAACACTGTCCAGTGTTAGCAAGAGATTGAATTTGGATGCTGAGTGCAAAATATCACTTTAAGGTGGCATCAGCAGCGCCGTGTGGCTGCACCATCAGTGTGTACTATGGACGTTCCATCTCTGCTTTGTCTCTTAGAGGCACTGTTTGTTTTATGTTTTCTTTAGAAATTGTCACAATATCACTTATGAAGAATAAACATTTCTTTCTAGGTTTGACACCGAAAAGCCTTATCAACTGCTAGATGCAAAGCACATTGAGATTAAACAAATGGAGTCAGCCATGACCTCGATTTATGAATCAGCTGGTCTGTTCGAAGTCATGGTGCCAGATTATAAACAACTGAAGCAGTGCAGAAAGGAGCTGTGTCTTCTCAAAGAGCTCTGGGATATGATCTCCCTTGTGAACACTAGCCTCGATGACTGGCAGAGCACAAGATGGGTGGATATTAATGTGGAAAACATGGAACTGGAGTGTAAAAAGTTTGCAAGAGAGATTCGGAATTTGGATAAGGAAATGAGGGCGTGGGATGCTTTCACTGGGCTGGACAGCAAGGTGAAGAACATGCTGACAGCTCTGAAAGCTGTGGCAGAACTTCAAAATCCCGCCATCAGAGAAAGACACTGGAATCAACTGATGCAGACGACGGGCGTGAGGTTTGCAATGGACTCGGACACCACGCTGGCTGACCTCCTGAAGCTCAACCTGCATAACTTTGAGGATGAGGTTCGTGGCATTGTGGACAAAGCAGTGCGAGAAATGAGCATGGAGAAGGTCCTGAAGGAGCTAAAAATGACTTGGAGCACTATGGAGTTTCAGTATGAGCCTCACCCCCGGACGAACATCCCGTTGCTGAAATCAGATGAGGAACTCATTGAAACTTTAGAAGACAACCAGGTGCAGCTGCAGAATTTAATGACATCCAAATACATTGCTTTCTTCTTGGAGGAAGTGTCTGCATGGCAGAGGAAACTATCCACTGCGGACTCCATCATTTCTCTCTGGTTCGACGTGCAGCATACATGGTCTCACTTGGAGAGCATATTCATAGGCTCAGAAGATATACGGGTACAGCTTCCTGAGGTATGAAACCCCAAATCTATTTTTCCCGTTTGGGAAGTGTGGAAGAAGAGCCTCCATTATATGAAATAGGGTTATCTATAATGCCAAGTTCCGCAAAGCAGGGCTTTTCTCCTGCTGTCTTCCTTTTTTGGAGGCTCCCTTAGTGCTATAGTAGTTTTACTAGTGCTGCCCCAGGATGTTTTTGTGCTGTAGGTTGTGCTTGAGCCATGCTGAGAAGCTGATTTTCTGCCCTCCACCACTGCGCAGCAAATAGAGTTCCTGGAGACTGAGCACGAGGCTGCTAGCTTCCTTCAGTGCTTCAGGCATGTTCCCTCTTTCCTCAGAGGGGAGGGGACTGGGGTAATTACTCAGACATTGCAAATTGTCAAACCAGAGCTGGACCAGGCAGCTTTGGCAGCATCCCCTTCCCTGCTTTCAGTGCTGGTGCAGGCGGAGAGCAGCTGTTCTCCCACTCCTGCTTTGGAAAACGGAGCACAGTTGTCACCTCCTCAGGGGTATCTTCAAGTCCAGCTCCCAGCCTTATTCCAGATTCCCTTGATTATTAAGAAAATCTTCCAAGCTGGTTCCTGGCCCTGCTGGACCACTCGCAGCTCTGCTGAGGGACCTGCCTTTCACTCGTGAGTAAACTGCAGGTGACTGAGTCCCCACCCCACCCTCGTGCAGTGTCAGGTCTGAGATGGAGCAGGGGCTGCTGCCACTGCTGGGGGACTGACACCTAAGAGGGGGTGTGCACAGCGCAGTGACACCCGGACAATACACCACTCTGTCTCCATCCTTCATTCTGGTCTGCTTGGACTGTTCCTCCCTTTGCCTTGGAGAGCGCTGGGCACACCTTGCTTACTGGGCAATATATACAGGTGCTAACAACCAGTGCCCTGAAGGATGTACCATGTACCAGAGAGCTGTTAATAGCCAACAGCTACCTAATGGCATGTATGAACTGATGGAGTTTGCAGTCCTGAGGGATATGGAGCAGGCAAAGAGTAAAGTCAGGTCCCTGAAGTTTAGGAAAGCAAAATTCCAGCTTTTCAGACAGTTAGTCAGTAGGATCCCCTGGGAAATCGCCCTCAGGTACAAGGGAGCAGAATGGAGCTGGCAGATCTTTAAGGACACTTTCCACAGAGAGCAAGAATTCTCAGTCCCCAAGTGTAAGAAATCAGGAAAGGAAAGCAAGAGACCAGCATGGCTGAGTGGAGACCTGATGGGCAAACTAAAGGGCAAGAAGGGAATGCACAGGCAGTGGAATCAGGGACAGGGATCCTGGGATGAGTACAGGGTCACTGCCCGGTTGTGTAGGGATGAGGTCAGGAAGTCCAAGGCGTGGCTGGAGCTGAACTTAACAAAGGATGCAAAGAACAATAAGCAGGGCTTCTACAGGTGTGTCAGCCAGAAAAGGAAGTTCAGAGAAATCACCCCTTGATGAGCAAGACTGGCAAACTTATAACAACAGTCAAGGAGAAGGCTGAAGTACTGAAAAAATTTTTTGCCTCAGTCTTCACTGGCATTCTCTCTTCCCACACCTCTTGAGGGGATGGCTGGCAAGACGGGGACTGGAGGAGCAAAGTCCCTCCCACTGTAAGAGAAGATCAGGTTCGTGACCACCTGAGGAACCTGAACATGCACAAGTCTATGGGATCTGATGAGAC